GGATGGACATGAAAATATGCCTGGCTAATCTGAGCATGTCTTTCTCCTGGCACCAGATATTGGATCAGGGAATGGGCACATAACCAATCAGACACAGTCCTGGGATTTTGACCCACCATAGAAAGGCATTTTTTCTTTTTGGCTGAAATCGGAACCATGAAGCCCACTGGATGGCCATCTGGCCAGCCTCGGGTAAAGCCTGCCTGAGAATGGGGCCACGACAGCAGAGAGCAGATGCAGGAGATGGAGGAGCTCTGAATCGTTGCCGGAGTCCCTGGACTGAGCAAGGCCCACAGCTGGTGCTCCTCCTGGCATTCCAGTTACATGAGTCAGTAAATTCCTATTTGTGCCATGACAATGCACGTTGGGTCTTCTTTCTCCAGCCCAGGTCACCTAGGCAACTCCAACGTGTCATCTCCAGCCCCCTGCCCCCAGCCTTGCCCCTCTGATTCAGTCCCACTCTGCCAGAGGGAGCCCTTCCAAACGTAGAACCCTCCTATTCCAGCTCCCACCGTGGTACCCACCCTCCCCACAGTGAAGCTCGCTGCCTCCGTGGGCTGCAGGGAAGGCCTGCTATGGTCTGGCCCCGCCTACTGTCCTCTGCATCTGGGAGAATCTTGATGACATAGTTCATCACCACCTCTACCTCCTTCTCTTAAGTTGGACTTGCCACTGATTCTGGGTTCTGTAAGCATCTTCCCCATGCCACCCAAGCTAACAGAAGGTATGCTAATTAGGTCACTACTCTTGGGTTCATCACCGGCCAGTAGGCGATCCAGTGGCCCCTTTATGTCTCTCACTGAACCACAGGCCAACAAGGTCATTAGGCAGTGTCTATCATTTTAGACTCAGGGGACGTGGATGCCCTGACCTCAGAGAGAAGTGAAAAGCCCGCACCTTCCCATCCCAACCAATCAGATTCATTCATGGAGGGTGGTGTGTGGGGTGGGGAAGGAGCTCTGGAGTGAGGCATTGAGCCCTTTGGCTCTATCCCGAGACCACCCCGGGGCACACCCAAGGTCTTCCTTCTCCCCCTGCATGGGCCGCTGGGTGGCCCACTGTGTCTGATACCGGAGGGGTGTCTTGGCAGATGATTCTAATAATAACTGTCCTCCAAGAACCGCTGGACCAGATGCTGTGTAGCCCCATCTGCCTTCCAGCTTCAACACTGTGGGAATCAGAATTCTCGGTCCTGTCATTTCCAGGTCAAAATGATTGAGGCAGCCTAGTGCAGTGGAAGGGATGCTGGTTTAAGTGCCAAATCCTACTCTCGCTTGTGGCTTCAGTGTCCCCATCTATACCCTGGGGATAACATCTTGAGCATCTAGCAGGGGTGCCTGCCTCCAAACCGAAGTGTTAGGGTTACTCTCAAGTTCACCCTCCACAAAAAGCAGCACTCTCTGGGGTGGTGACGATGCCATCGCTGGGCTAAAGCTGGGTGTGGGGTGGAGCAGGAATCACCTCTAGCAACAGCAGGCGGGGAACCCCCTGCTTCAGGGGGTTGCATACAGGTTGGTCAAGTGTTCGGGACATCTATTTTCTGGCCTCATCTTGGAACTTACAGCTGCAGACTACGTTGGCCTTCAAAACAATGACTCCAGCGATCCTGAGAACCCCTGGTGGAGTGCTTTCTGGGGTATCCCATTCCTTGGAGGTTCGAGGAGATAATGTGGGCCGCTGGCAGCCTTGGCCTGGCCTCGGCTCATTAGCTGCCTGCTATCTGGGCTCCTCCCTTTCTCTACAGTGAGGCACCTCCACCATATCAACACGGAACTTGTCATTATCCCCTGAGGCCAGTGACTCTCCCCACTTCCCATCTCAGCAGGTGGCATCACTACTCACCCAGCACCCAAGCCACACACCTGACTGCCATCCTTGCTCCTCCGTCCTCCACCTGCAGCCCGTCAGGTGGATCCCACCTCCCGAACACCTCCAGAGCCACCCCATTCTCTCCATCCCACTGCTGCTCCCCGGCCCAGGTCACCTAGGCCAGTGGTCGGCAAACTCATTAGTCAACAGAGCCAAATATCAACAGTACAACGATTGAAATTTCTTTTGAGAGCCAAATTTTTTAAACTTAAACTATATAGGTAGGTACATTGTTATTAACTTAATTA